CGTCGAAGTCTGTTGCATCTTCATCATCATTGCTACTCTAATTTTTCAATAAATAATCATCTTCCGTTCCACCTAGATTGTTAGATATATACATGACTTTGTTTTTACATGACTTTTGAATTAAGTCAGGTGTAACTTCATTCCATGCTTTTATTACCCACTATTCCTAGACTGGCATGACGACGCATTTGGTCTCCTTTTGTAAATGCTTTTTCACCTTTACACCCACATATTCAACTGACGTTTTAAACTTTTTTGAGAGGTTTATTGACACACATATCTAAATCCTGAACTAATGGCATTTAATTCGCCTGGAATAACTGCCATCTATGTATTACACTCTTTTAACAATTTCTTTGTATTATCCTTTAGATGGAAACTCCCATGCCCCAAACTAAAAGAATTCCCGGATTCTTTAAGGTATTACATCGCTTAACATTTCTGATCCACAGTTTCACACCATTTTAGCCCATCTATTTTTTCATGTGAACACGAACGAAAACACCATTTGGGAAATTACATTTCGGTATTGTCTTTCTTTTAAAAACAACCACGGGTTTTAATTTTGTACCGTCCGCTAAGCAGGAAAGCATTACACTATGATATGAGATTTTTCGTAACTTGTTTTTATTTTTCTTATGCGGACCTGTTTTTGTTTTCTTTTCACATCTACTTTTTTATTTGTTATCATATCAAGTATATAGAGTTTCATCCCTATTTCCAATATGTGAGGGTATTTTTTTTTCTTTCGTCGGTTAATAACGTACTTCTAGAAACTCATGAGTTTATTGCTCAAATCTTTCAGACGCCTTTGGGAAACATTTGTTTTTTTTTCTCATAGAACTAAATTATTCCATAAATCGACTACACTAATCCAAAATAGCTTTAAGAGTTTCACTTTCATTTGCGTTCTTTTTAATACACTTTAAAGTAAATAAAAGTACTCTGTTTCTAGTCAAAATTTATTTATTCTGATGGAAGAATTCATTTATTCATTTTCTAGGACCCAGTTTACAACACTCCCTTTCAGGACTGGACATTTCTCTATTCTTTTATGCAAAGTACATTTATTCTTTGGCATATTAATTTTTGTAATCTTATTTTTCTTCCACTCCACGTATGGAGCTTTCGTCAACACCAAACGTCTTTGCTGCAACACGATTTTAATTTTCTTTCGCAAACTGAATGACTTTGCATTTGAAACCAGCATTGTGCTTGTTTTGTTTGATAGGAACCATATTTAATACTAAAAAGAACACTTTGATCAACTGTATTTCAATTAAAACAAATGTGCCATATTAATGCCTTCTATGTTCCTTTCAAAATCACGGTTTGAAATGACTACAGAAAGAGAAAACAAATGACTCCTAATTCCAAGAATTATTCGATAGGAAATGCATTCTTACTCCAAATGATGTCCCCCTTTTACTCGAAACCATAGAATAACATAATTATTCTCTCAAGAATTTCCTCCACACATATATTGTTCCATTTATCACTTTTCAATATGGTATACCAGTGTTCGAAGTCCGGGATAAATCATCGAATGAATGACCTTAAAAGATAAGAGCATTGCACATATATTTTTTAATTTCTAAAGAAAAGAGTGAACATTTCACGGCGAAGATACCTAAAAATTAAAAAACTGTAATTTGAAATTGGCAATACGTGTTACACATTGGTGCGCGGTATACGTCAAAATATACGATAAATGCAATCTTAATTCAGAAAACCAATTAATGATTATATGCTGCCTTGAATTAATAATACGTCTCAGGGTTAGCAAAGATAAATTCCTTGGTAGCGCGGCAGAGTGTAATAATAAAAATTTGATGAAAGATTACATGTTTCTAAATCCAGTATTTTACCCAAGAAACTAAGGAATATTTTATCCGTTTAAACAAAAGCCTTGTGTGCTGGATACTTTCGTAGTTTCTAAAATTAATATCAAGCAAATATTGAGTTTTGCTTGTAAAATTTTATTACATTGCTGTTATGATAGAAATGGAATTTCAGTCATCTTATTAACGTTAAAGTAATATTTTATATCTCGAAATTGCGTAACAGAACCCTTATGATACAATACTAATACTTACTTGAAGATGATATACTAACATTGCTCACAGTTGAAAAAAAGTAAGCACATAGAAATTATAGATACTCTGATTATTCAATGAAGAGTTAGAGCCTAGGTTGAATTAGATATTTCAAAGGATTTTTGAAGTGAAAATGTGGCTATGATTATTCAATGAAGAGTTAGACTTTAGGATGAATTAGATATTTCAAAGAATTTTGGATACCGGCCCAATGTGCAGAACCACTACCCCACTCGGCGACTAGGGTTTTAGGGAACCTAGTCGCCAAATCCTGGGTGCGGAGAATCATCATGCACAACCATTTTAATTCGGGCGCCAATTGTAGAGTCATTAGGTTAATTGGAAGCAGAAAGATGAAAAATAGCAACCGCCCTCGCCGGGAACCACGGACCTCTGGAATACCAACCCAGTGTACAGAACTACTACACCACGAAGGCACGCTAGGAAAGTGGGAGAAATACCTTATACTATGATGATGCAGTTCATTAATATCCATAAATGATTTGAAATGTACGTGATGTACAAAAATTCTGTGAGATATAAAAATTTACAGAAGAAAGAACTAGTAATAGGAACATGAGGTTTAAAAATCTTGGAGCAAGATTTTAAGAAAGATTATGTTTAGTTATTGATCCTTTGTTTTCACCAAACTCATTGCTAGGAAATACGTTCATTTAAATATAATAAAAATTTTTAACTTTTCTGAAACTTCTTATTCACATTTAAGTATTCTCCGGCAAAAAGATGAGGCATTTTAAAACAGACGTGCGTCCCGCTGAAAATCTTGTCACAGAAAACCGACTGAAGAACATTAAAAAAGAATGATAAATATTTCCCTAATCGAAACTTTACATCAGGTGGCTTTGTGAAAACCAGACTCAATTTTCAATCTTGTTAATGGAAGAATCTTGAATGACTCGAAAATTCTTTTCCACTGTGATTTTGGCGCTATGCTGTATAATAATAATAATAAAAAATACTTCCATTTCCCCCATCAACAAAGATCAGAATTTGGATAAGTAGTTTTCTTTTCTGTTCCTTACGACGCTGCCAACATGCGACGTCGCGAATACCGCATACTAAACGAGGGAAAAAGATGTCTGCCTCCCGTCAGATGGATTCTCACAAAAGCGTCTATCTGACGAAGAGGGAATGTTGAGAGCATCTGGGAGACGGGAAAAATATATATTCCGAGATTTCTTTGCACAGCTGTCCAAACAAAACACCTTCCGTCTCAGATATCTTTAGGCATATGTCGCTGACAGTCGACGAAAGTTAGAAGAGATGGTCTCAATCAACAGACAGTGTTTCGTTACCGGATTAACCAACCTGTCTTCTTCGTTATGAGAACAGAACAATCCCTTTCGTTCGGGGAGGGGAGAGGGGAAGGAGGAGGGGCAGAAACATTGATACTACCACCAAAGATAAGATATCGCAGAGAATAGATTAGCTGCGCTTAGTTTGGTAAAGTTTCTTTTAGTTAGTTTGGAGAAGTTTCCTTAGTTAGTATAGCAAAATCTTCAGATTCAGGAGGGATAGTGTTTGTAAGCTTTGTATATCTCAGGAGTATGGAATTAATGAATTTCTTTGAAATAGTATTTTAGTAGATTGAAAAGTCTTTCTCCCTAAAGTGTCATATTTGAAAAATTGTAGAATATTTGTCATTCGTCTTTCACATACATGATATTTTGCTCCTCTAATGCGAGAACCTAGGTAATTCGGGAAATTATAAATTTTTGTTACTATTGCTGTGATTCTAACGTTATATTAAACATATTTACAGTACAGTTAAAATAATTTTACTGTTGTAGGGAAAATAATAAATAAGGCGTTTCTTTTAGTACTCAATAGTCATTCCTGGTTTTTAGATATGTTTTATGTTTGTAATGAAATGCGATTTTTATGTAGATAAAAATTATTTTGATGATTTTTCAAACTACAAACTATTTGATTTATCACATTACGTATTCACATGTGTGCAAAAAAATAACAACAATTGAATGTTATTTTATTTATTGATTTATTTTCTTATTGCTAAAATATTTGTAGCAAATGCAGATAATTTTGATTTTTATAAACTAAATATCGCTTTTTCTATATTTTATAATTCATTAATAATATAATACAGGGAAAAATAACAATATATCAATATATGATGCTGTATGATAAAATAATATTCACATCTTCATTGAAACAGTGATAAAAGGAGGACAAAAAGAGTTTGATTTTAAAATATGTAAAAACAGTATTTAAAAATTGATTATTAACTCCTTGGAGGGTTAATAAAAATGATTAACTTCTAAGGTCACAGGGTTTTCTTTCAAAGACATTCGTAAATATCGGAATTTTCACCAATCGATAAATTCTCAAAAGTATATCCTTCATCAAAATGATAACTGAATTTATGTAAAGAGCTGTTTTACTTCGTTTTTAGTAATGTTATTTTACATAATTTGGGTAAAAAAAAAATAGCTTCATAACACACACACACACACAAAAACAAAAAAAAAAAAAAAAAAAAAAAACAAACAAAAAAAAAAAAAATTGATGACAAGATTTATTACTTTGATTCTTATACACAATATCGTTTGCATAAAAATGAAATTTAGTTAAATATTGTTTTTCTATAATAATAGCTAAATTTTATGGTAATGCACAGACTGGATCGCCTTTTTACATTGCTTTTTATACAATTTTATTCAAACGGTAATCTTTTAAAGTGATGTTACACTTTTAATATTTTTATTATACCATTTTGTGCTCGGACACGAAATAGAGAAGCAAACGGCTTTCGCAAATGAATTTTTTTTTATTAATTTAGTTTTAATTTTATTAAATCCTCTCTTTTTATCTGTTAACTTGAGGCTTTTAAAATGCAGCTTTTCCACTTTTTCTTAATATGAGGTGTTTACCATTGTTAAAGTTTATTATTGTAAAACTAGTGATATTTAAACCTCAGAAAAGCAGGCAACCGCAAGAAGGTAAGACGTTAAGTTCAGATGATCTTGGAAATTATCTTTCCTAATCAGTACTTCAAGGGAGATATCCAAGAATGTGGAGACAGGCTGAAAAAAAAAAAAAAAATGAAGGAAACAACTATCCATTAAGGGTAAAAATTAAAAACTTCATTGTAACAGTAATGTTTTACATATTGTTTATTAGAAATAATGCTTATCATGCTAATTCAGAAGTCAAACAACAAAAATCAGCGTTATATTTACAAAATTTTCACAGGACTAGTTTCGATGATTTTACCGAACCACCATCTTCAGCTGCAAAACCGCAAATGAACCAGATAGGAAATAATGATTAGATAAGATAAGAAAGCCTGGACAAGAATAAGCAAGTGGCGCCATCTGTTGGTGAAACCAGAACTAAAACATAATTTCTTTAAAGGCCGAAGGCAAATTGGATTGGAATTAGGATCGTTAACTAGAACAGAAAGATTTTTATGAATGTGAAATGCCTCTAGAAAATTCATTTTCTCCAATGGAAGATGTTTTTTGAATAATTTTGGCAGCAGAAAAACTGAAAGTGTGGTTTTCGGACCAACAATGTTGAGCAACAGAAGACTTCTGTGTTTCCTTTTTTCTAACATATGCCTCATGTTCCTTGACGCGAAATTTTAAGGCTCTCTTAGTTTGGCCAATGTAAATTAAACCACACTGGCAAGGAATCCTATAAATACCCCAGGAATTCATATATCCGGAATGGGGTCCTTGAGTATGGAACTCGGAATTTTATTGATGGGAGAATAAACAACCCGAAAGTTAAATTTCTGCAAAATATGTGCAACTTTATAGCTAATTGATGGAAAGAAGGGAATGACAACAGAATTTTTATAATCTCCTAAAACAAGAGTGTGCCTTTTAGTGTGTTGAGATGTGACTTCTGAATTAGTATTTATTCGGCGTGTTATTGTGTCTTAATGCTTATCATGGTTTAATATTTTCCTTTATTGCACATCTTAAAAATATCTTATATTTTCAAACTGTCATTATTTTTATATAAATGCATAAAAGCCCCTTTAAGATACACTCAATTCTATAATAATTATAATAACTATAAATGAAAATTTGCAACCTTTTTCATTCTCCTTATCACGTGTCTTCGTAGTACATTTGCAAAGGATATCCGGCTAGCAGCGAAAGGTCCTTAGTTCGAGTCCCGGCGAAGGGAACGGAGATTTATCATTTTTCCTGCTTCTAAAAAATTCTAGGATTCTTCAAGAAGCACCCGAACTAAAAATACTTAACAATAATCCGTTACCACCAGAATTTGGCAACCCTTCATCCTCAGTCGCTCTTTAAATAGGTGAGAATGTAAGAATTTTCTTCGACCTCACCAAGTTTTCTTGGCGGTTAGTTTGCCTAGCTATCGGAAGGTATGGAATTTGAGTCTCGGCAAGGACACTGCGTTTTCTTCTCCTTTGCTGCTGTAAAACAGCATGCCTAATGGTCTCTTCAAAGTTATGTAATAAAGTTAGACTAACCAAGTGATAAATAAAAATATTGTCATGAAGTTAAGGTATATTCACCAGTGGCAGATAAAAAATTTAAATAAGAACTAATACGAAAACATTTAGACATCGAAATTTAAACCAAACAAAAGAAGGGATGCATTATCAATTATGCTAGCATAATTAAATAAAAACCTTATCAGTATAAATCAATTACATTAATGCAAAGCTTATCAATCTGGCATTAATAGTGATTAACCATTTGTTTTCAAACAGCAGCGTTTCCTAATACGGCTTCCTCAGAATTCAAATATTGCGCAATAAATCGTAGGGAAAACAGGGGCAGGTAGAGGTGAGCGAGACAACAAAATTTCGCGACTAGAAGTATAGCTACAGTTCCGTCGCACTAACTGGACAGTTGGACTCCAATATTGATGGAGAACGCCCAGGGAGGACGGATGCGAGGGTCTGTCGCGATCGCTTAAAGGTCGCAGTTTCGAGCCGTGGAGGATACAGTTTAGTTTTTCTTACTTAGAACGTTTTCCTGAACATAAATTCCCTCCTTCCCTACCATGTTCTTAATGGAAACGGGGAAGGAAGCTTAACAGTTAGCTAGCTTCAGCAGTACCTTAGTCACCTATGGCGTTACAGAAGTGCTGGCCCAAATTCTACCTGTAGCTATACTACCTTGTCGCCCAGCCGGCATAGTGGCTAGTGACTGTCATCCTGACTCTGAGTGTCCTACTGATGGGCCCGGGTTCGAATCTCGGAAAGCCGCGATGTTTGTAAGCGTATAGTGTTTACGTGGCAAATGGGCACTCAAAAAATGATCGACCTCTCGAGAAGGTAGAAGAAAAAGTGAGGGAGATTTAATAATAGACTTGCTCATCCTCTCATTTACTGCGAGACTTAAGGCTTCAGTTTATTATAAGCGTTTAGTTTTCAGGCGAATATGCAAAGCAATACTGAGTTTATGTATTCTAGAAAATATAGGCTAAAGAAAATGAATTTGAATTTCTAGTATTTAGCAATCTTAACCACTCGAAAACAGGCGAAGTCTTCAGTATAAAGAAGTAATAATGTACTTAGGCTGTACTAATATTGAATTTTGCTTAGTAATTATATAGTAATAATTACAACTATTATTATTTATCTAATACGCCCTCCGCCATTCGGCATTATACGGCAAGGGAGGAACGCCCTGTGTAGGATGTTTTAAGGAAATTAGGCTCGTATGCACGTTATTCTTATGGAAAACTTTAATTTGCCCATGTAGTCAATCAGTTTAACGGGATTCGAGCCTCGGCTGAACTACCAGTGTTGAGGGGCTTTTACTGTTTGGCAGCTGGTGGAACATCATTAGTAATGTGCGTTTTCGTGGTTTTCCCCAAGTGCCAATTACCCTTAGAAAGTCCTTCACGAAGGCTTCCTTTTCTTCATGCAGATAGCCCTCGAAGCTTTGCAGTAAATCGAACAATTCCAAAGCCGTCGTTAGTAAAAATCTTAGTTTACTTATTGCAGGGTGCCTTATTACTTGAATGCAGGATTTAACTGAAAATATTTGTCGAGTGATAATCCCATTTCTATTTCTCAGAGCTCCAATAAGCTATAGTTTAAATTTTCTTCCTTTAAAACCCCAATATTCTTTTCATTTGACTCGCAGAACCCTCTTCTTTAAGTCAGGGCAGCTTGTGAAACCTTTCCCGTTTTCCCTATAATATTAGAAACTGCATGCAACTTGAAAACTTTGGATTACTTACTAATTGCAGAAATTGTAATCTACGTATAAGTGTCATTTTCAAAGTTAAGTGCATAAACTAATTTTAAATTCAAGTTTATATTCTTTGTTAATGTAATTTGAAGCAAATGCTGGTAGAAACAATAGCATTTCCTGATTAGGAAACGCAGAAAGCGTTTTGGTTTCCTATCTATTTAAACAGAAGCGACAGATATTTATTTACATGTCTTTCAAACTACTAAGATAGCCATCAAAGCGTTATCCCTTGCCGATTATTACATCACTACATTCAATGCTCCACAACAAGGTCACTCTTTAGCTCCACGCCGGTGAAACTTAGTTGCAATAATGTCTCAAGAACGTCACATTCCACTGACAAATGGGTCTCTTCGAGTTCAGCTCACGAGGGAAATTATGGGGCAGTGCTGTCACGGAGGTAACAGTATCAGATCTGACATAATCAAGATTATTTGGCTGAATGTTGTTTACTACGTTGCTCGAGGCAGTGTTATTGGCTTTATTGCTTTTGATACATTGCGCTTTAAATTAAATATATCTGTAGCTATTAGCTTAAATTTATACGAAGCTTTGGATGAACGACGGTCAGTATTTAGAATCATGGATGCTAATATCTGGCTGTAAATTTAATTTGTTATGTAATTAATTTTCAAAATACGATATATACGAATATAGCGGTGAACTGTTAGAGAAAGCAGTCAGGTTTATGAGCGTAATTATGCACCGCTGATGATTATGGTTTGGTCAAAATTCGATGGTTCTAAGTTAGCTGAAATGCACCATAAGTATCATGAGAGCACATACTTTGTTGAAATATTTTTAATGTGATATAAATACAGTTTTTCGTAGGCCAACGTATATTCTTAATGAGTATTCTAACTCATATATATTTGTCAAGTTACACTGTTGACGGCTTGCTAGAACAAGCTTGGCCTTGCTACCCTGATCGGTTAGAGCTCCAGGCGGCTGTATCTTTGCCTCGAATTCAAATCTTAGAAAAGGCAGAGATGTTTTAAGTATATAGTATCTGTGCGGCATAGGGGTACTCAAAATACAACACTCAATGCAATATACAATGAACAAAATGTCCTCTCGTATGGTAGGCGAAGAGGGTTGACAGGTGCTCTCCATCAGATTTGGTGCAGCTAAGATAATAGGACTACACCTGCATGTCCAGTGGTGAATTCTTGGTACTCCGTCCCCCTTATACTTGTACTTGTACGATATGACAATCATGTCGGCGAGTAATCAAGTTTTCAAAAACTTGATTTCGAAGTAAATGCCAAACAACGTAGCTTAACCTATGTACTAAAACTTGCAGTTCAATTAAAATTTAAATATAAAATTTCTTCATGTAGAAAATTGATAATTTACAATAAATTATTCGTCTGAAATTTACGCAACTAATATTTCCATAGTTTGAGCATTTTATACATATTTGATTTTAAACAATTAAGAATTAAAGAAATATGAACTTAACGTATATGTAGCAGGCAAGGATATTATCCTTGCTTCCTACTCATATAGTTAATTATTAGATGAATGAAATAAAGGTAATATCCCTATTCATTAACTGATGAGTAGAAGTAATCGTTACTCACATTAAAAATTCTAATAACTCGTTTTGGTGTTTCATTAATTTAATCTTTATCTCCTAAAAAGTATTGAATTTTAATAATATTACGACATAATAAAGCAATTTTAATAGGCCTGAAATTTTTCGAAACGTGATACTATATTATATGACTATATTATGGAAAAAATTACTAAATGTAGTTTCTATTTTTCTGATTTTCAAAGGTTAAATAAAATAATTTAAACCGCAGTTTTGGATTAAAGAATATTAAATG